GCTGTGCGGAGGCCACGGCGGACCGCGGGCCGCCTCGTCCTCACCCTCCTGCCCTGGCTGCGGCCCGCCGGGTCCCGGAGCCCACTGCCCCAGCACCCCGCGCTCGGCGCCTGCAGACAGCGCGGACCTCAGCACGCACTTGTGGGCTCGTTACCAGGACATGCGGAGGCTGGTGCACGGTGGGTGACTCCGGGTGGGCAGTGCGCCGGAGGGCGTCAGCCGAGCGGCGCCCAACAGACGGCCGGGGCACCGTCCCCAACCTTCCTGGGAGCAGCTTACTGGAAGTGCCCGGTGGGGCTTGCCAGGGTCCCAAAACATGATGTCGTTTTGGGAAGGCTCCATCGGGTTGGTACGCGGTGCCTCTGCACGCACCCCGACTCCCGGGGCGCGCGGAGGTTTTGTTTTCTGGGTGCGGGAGCTTGAAATGCCTGGAGCAGCCGCTGCGCACGCGGCCCTGGATCTTGCTCCTGGGTCCAGTCTTTGGGTAGCGGCGGTGGAAACCTCAGACCCTTGTTCTCCGCTGACTTTTAATTACGGTGTGTGGACAAAGACTGAACGAGCGGTGCTCACCGACGGCCCGATGTAAGACGACACCTGCCGGACATTGTAGGCACCTCTTAGCTTGCCTCTGGCGGTCTACAGCACTCTAAACAGCTTGGTTAGAGTGAAGGTGTTGGAGGAACCGAAAAGTTACTGTAGCCCCCTGCAATCCCGGGATGGTGCTGTAGTCCCAGCCAGAGCTGCACAGGGCACTTCCCCTCCCCTAGCCTTTTCTCTCTCTGGAATGGGCTGATGAGGCAAGAGATCTGATTGTGGAACATCTGTCCATTTGTCTGGGTGGGTCTAGTGGGGCCCTGTCTCTGCCGCAGATAGATGTGATCTGGGCTGTGGCCCCTGTCGCTGCCCAGCAGGGTGGCCCCTGGCCTCCTCACACCCTCTCAGGACCCTCAGGCTCCTGTCTCAGGATTGTGGTGATGACTCAGAACAAGGCCAAGCGGAGGGGGGGCGGGGGTTGGTTCTAGAGGAAGCCCCAGAGGTGATGTAGCTTGCATTGTCTAGTAAAACAGTGGCTGTCGGGGAGATTCCAGCTGTGACTGGGCAGGGGTTTCCACTCTAGCTGTGTGGAGACCTGGAGGTTGGCCATAGTTCATCTCTTGACAAGCCACAATCAGAATAGTTGAGACCTCTGAAGAATGGTTGCTCTTAAGAACTGGGAATATTGCAGGGTAAGCAGCTTTACAGAAGTCTTTGTTCTGCACCTAGAAAAATCCCTCTGAGTGGCTGAGAAGCCTGCGTATCTTGGCGGTGTTGGGGAGGAGGGTCTACTTTCATAACCTTCAGGGTCCTCCTGTGTCTTCAGATTCTTATGGACCCCCCTGAGTTCTTGTGAGCAGGGTCGCCTCCACTAACGTGCCAGGGTGAGCTAACTTCTTGCTTCTGAACCCAGACCTCACCGGGCTAGGTTTTCTGAAGGAGTCTCAACAAAACTGTCAAGGCTAGGGCTAGTAGCCCTTCAGAGAGCAGTGGAGGACCGTTAGCCTACGCTTGGCCTCATATGATAAAAGGAAAAGGACACCGAGGCAGGTGGGGCAGCCTGAACCTGCCTCTCAACTTAGTTGTTTGATGCTGGATCGTTTGATTGGGGACCTTTGCCTCCCCAAGTTTAGTTCTCTGAACAGTGGAGCTAGATGTGTGGTTACCTCACAAGACTGGAGCAGGGATGAGCCGTAAAACACATACATGGTCTTAAACTGAGAGAAGGATGGGGCTGGACAGTACCGTAAGCGCACCAGACTACCGCTGAGTCATGGCGTACCCTCTCCTGGCCTACTCAGCACGACTGATAACCTGTGGAAGGCGTGGACTTGTTTAACCACCCAGAGCTAGGATTCCTTTGGTCCAGAAATGAGGTAGGTAACCTTAGGCCCCGTATGCTTCCCCATCCTACTGTTGCCAGGAAAGTTTAATCCCCCGGAAGACCCTGGAAAGTAGAGGCAAGGCATGGACCTAGTCAGAACTCTGCAAACTTGAGGCCCACAAATACCACGCCTCTGTTTCCTACCCCAGGGGTTTTCTGGACACTAAGGCGAGCCATTAGCAAAGTTGACATCCTGGAGTGTAGGGTTGTGGAAATTACTAGATATGTGGGCAGCTGAGGTCCGGGGTCCTAGTGACACCAGGTGATAGGTGTCTCAGAAACTGTTCTTTAGGGGGAGGCCATCCGCTGTGTCTTAAGCATGCCCCAGCGAAGAGCTCTGTCCACACTTGGGGATCTTCAGAACAGCTGCTCGCTGCTGGCTGTAGGCCACCGGAGGAACTAGCCACACCTGTTCCCACACCTACTCCCTGCACTTGACACTAAAAGAAATGGGGGTGGAGCCCTGTGTTCCAAAGGGGCCTCTGAGGCAACAGCTCAGCACGTAGATGAGGTGTCTGCCCCGCACAGGAGCCGCTAGACGTGCTGTGGAGCCAGAGATTTTTGGTTGATGATCAGAATCGGTGTGGCTGATGACAAGCTCACTGGGAATTTGGACTTTACCCCTATTACCCCTAGTCCTGCCTCTTCCCCTTCTCCTGCAAATCCAGGATTGACCAAGCAAGACCCAGCTTGCACACATCATACATTTGATCCTGCATATTGTGTGGGTACAGAGCAGGATCGCTACATGAAGTAGACTGGTTCTGGTTTTATTCCCCTTTTAAGAGAAGCAAGCCCAGGGGCTAAGATAACATTCTCGAATTCACAGACATGAGAGGGAGGGAGGGCCTGATCTGCCTGGCTCACGTCCCATGTCCTATCGTGTCCTTTTTCTCCGTACACCTTGCCCACTTTCCAGATGGGGAAGACAAAGTGGGTGAGCCTAGGACCCCAGAACCTTCCCAACATAGTTCCAGGCTTGGCCTTCTTCTGTGACTCTTTTCAGAGGCGTGTGACTGTCACCAGAAGAGAACAAGCTGGGTAGTGTCCCAAAACCCGACATCTTACGTCCCGCCTGTGGTAATTAGAATGTTCTCTGGCTCCGGCCCGGGAATGTCATTATGTGGTCTGGCAGGCAGCTGAAATCCGATTAGAGGGACCTTGCTCCCCGGGGCTATGGCAGGTGTTCCAAGTTGGCAGCCTTGGGGGGTTCTCCACTCCTCTAATGTTCTTGGGCCCCAACCACATCTCTGGGCAAAGTGGAAAAGCAACATTCATGGCCTTGGCCTCCAGTTAGGTCAAAATGGAGCCAGCCAGCATCCTGTGGGAGGAGTCCACGGTCCCTGCACCCTACCCTTGGCAGGTAACCCCAAGAAAGTGGAAGACAGGCCAGTGGACAGTGGTGCTCCTGGACAGGTTTTGAGTGAGTAGTGCTGCCAGGGTTCCCACACACCTGTGTCTGTGGGGCACCACAGATGACACTTTAACATAGAAAGGGAGGCTTGTAGCTATGACCAGACCCCCAGAGGAGAGCAGGCTGGCCCATTGTCAGCTCTGCCCTATCAATGGCACACTCCTCTCTGAGCCTCAGTTTGGCCTCTACTCCACTGGGCTAAGATGTAATAATTCACTATCTTGTGGGGCCCATGGGGCTGGGTACCCACAAAGTACTTGGGCCATTTGCTAGGACCATCATAATGGCACCATCCTCTTGGATCTCCTTCCCTCTAGACCTTCTGCCCCCTGAGGTCTGTAGCCTCCTAAACCCAGCAGCCATCTACGCCAACAATGAGATCAGCCTGAGTGACGTTGAAGTCTACGGCTTTGACTACGACTACACACTGGCCCAGTATGCGGATGCGCTGCACCCCGAGATTTTCAATGCTGCCCGGGACATCCTCATAGAGCATTACAAGGTGAGACTGCCAAGCCCTAGAAGCCGGTGGGACCCAGGCTGAGTCTTGGGGTTCCCCTGGTATCCTGGGCTGAGGGCTGGCCCTGCTCCTGGCTTTTTGTCCAACAGTACCCTGAGGGAATTCGGAAGTATGACTATGACCCCAGCTTTGCCATCCGCGGTCTCCACTATGACATTCAGAAGGTGGGTGTCTAGACACTGACCCTTTCTGACTAGATGTGCACAGGGCCGGCTTCAGCCTCCTCTCCTTATCGGGCCACCCTGACCTCGGCTGTCGCTTCCCCTTAGTAGCATCCGTAGAGGTTTTGTTGCTGAGGGTTGGGAGGTACTGGGGAAGAAACTGGCTCAGGGCCAAGGACAAAAACCTGTGTCCTCACCACTAGCCCCGCCCCGTGCCCACTTCCAGAGCCTTCTGATGAAGATTGATGCTTTTCATTATGTACAGCTGGGAACGGCCTACAGGTTAGTGTCAGGTCCACCCTCAGTCTACCCTTGTTCCCATCCTGTACTGCTTCCTGGGCTCCGGCTGAGGGTATCTGTCCCCCCACTTACCCCCAACTCAGGGGTCTCCAGCCCGTGCCAGATGATGAAGTAATTGACCTATACGGTGGCACCCAGCACATCCCGCTATACCAGATGAGCGGCTTCTATGGCAAGGTACCCACTCAACCTGCTGTTGCCCAAGGCAGCCCAGACTAGGGATTTTGATGTGGGTGCTGGCATCCTGTGCGGCAGTGGCCAGCAGGTCACACCGCCTGCCAGTGCCCCAAGGCAGATCCCTCGGTCTCTGGTACTTAGAATAGCGGCTAAGAGTTGACGTCCGTCCGCAGGGCCCTTCCATCAAGCAGTTCATGGACATCTTCTCCCTGCCAGAGATGGCACTACTGTCCTGTGTGGTGGACTACTTTCTGGGCCATGGCCTGGAGTTTGACCAAGTACACCTCTACAAGGATGTGACGGTGAGGAGGCGGGCCTTGTCCCTTAGGTGAGCCAAAGTCTGTTTGCCTTCCTCCCTGGCATATCCTCACTGTCCCCTTGTTCCCCTTAGGATGCCATCCGGGATGTGCATGTGAAAGGCCTCATGTACCAGTGGATTGAGCAAGACATGGGTAAGGGTGGAGAGTCGCTCTTACCGTGGCCTGTCTGAGCAGAGGGTCACACGGGCCTGGCCTTCACTGACCCACCCTCCATTTCAGAGAAGTACATCCTGAGAGGAGACGAGACGTTTGCAGTCCTGAGCCGCCTGGTGGCCCACGGGAAGCAGCTGTTCCTCATCACCAACAGTCCCTTTAGCTTTGTGTGAGTCCAGGCCCGCTGTCAAGAGTATGTGTGGGTTGGAACTGGGAGGATGACACCGTACTGCTCCCGGACTATAGCCAGTGCCGTCTCTACACAGGGACAAAGGCATGCGGCACATGGTAGGTCCTGATTGGCGACAACTCTTCGATGTAGTCATCGTCCAGGCAGACAAGCCCAACTTTTTCACCGACCGGCGCAAGTATGAGCTTAGCAGGGACTTCGGGGTTATGGGAGGAGGTTACAGGCCCCACTCCCATGAGAAGACTTAGGCATAAAACCCAACTGGCCCGAACTCGGTATTCTCTGTGCTTAGACAGGGATGCCCCCTTGCTTGACAGTGTGCCGCTTAGGTGGGGGCCTTTACGCGGGCCAGGAAGGAAGGGGCCTGAGCTGTGGCTCTGTCACAGACCACAAAGTGGGCTCTTTACTCTTCACCCAGGCCTTTCCGGAAGCTTGATGAGAAGGGCTCCCTCCACTGGGACCGCATCACGCGGCTGGAAAAGGGCAAGATCTACCGGCAGGTAAGGACTCTTTGGGGGAACAGTGCCTAATGGGTGGCCTGGGGCTACGCAGGGGCAGCCTCCTGGCCTTGGTCAGTTTGCACTGTGGGACTAGAGCCAGTGGCCCCAGGGCAGGGCCACTAGGAAACAAGCCTGGGTGACAGCAGAGGAGATTGGTTTGGGTTCTATAGCTACCCGATAGCCTAGGGACCCTGGTCATCACCTCTAGGCCTTGCTATCCACTTGAGAATCATGGTACAAAAGCCTTAGAATGCACACTCGACAGGCACAGCCAGCCTGGTTGAAGTCCTGAGGTGAGCCTGGGGAGAGAGCTTATGGATTAAGCACCCACCGCGCGCACACACGCGCGCACACACACACACACACACACACACACACACACACACACACATCCTGGTTTCCTGTGTGATGACTCAGAGGAAAGGCCAGATTTGAGCTGACATCTTAGCTGGCCCACACTTGGCCAGGAGAGCAGCGTTTAGATGCCTCGACTCAGCTGGCAGGCCTCTGTTCAGCATCCTGCCTGCCACACCCCGATCTCCAGTCCTCAACTCTTGTCTTATCATCAGACTGTGGTGGCCCTCTTTGCGGGAAGGTGACTTGTTTTCTTGGCAGCTCTCAGGCCTAACATTGTATCAGAACCCTGTGTAGTTCTCAGGAGCCCTCCCTGGCATCTCTCCTTCATCTGCCCCTTGAGATTCTTTTTATTTGTTTTGTTTTAGAGACAGGGTTCCTCTGTGTAGCTTTGGAGCCTGTCCTGGAACTCACTCTGTAGACCAGGCTGGCCTCAAACTTAGAGATCCGCCTGCCTCTGCCTCCCGGGTGCTGGGGTTAAAGGCGTGCACCACCACCACCCAGCTTCCCCTTGAGATTCTTGATCTAGGGGCCATGCCCTCCACTGCCCTTCGGATGCCACCCCCAGCTCCCATCTCTCTGAGGCTCACTGTTGCAAGTTGCTCTATGAACTGTGCTCTGCTGAGTATTCACCTCTGGTCGCCCCTGTACTTCCCAACTCTGGCCACTCCACCCCCACCCCCGAAGCATCCTCAGTTGTGGCTGTCCCTTGGTGTTGTCATCTTTCCCTGGGTTTGGAGCAGAGAAGCACATGGCTTGCCAGTGAGCTCTGTAGTTGGTCCACAGGGTCCTGTGGGTAGAGACTGAGGAGGTTCACAAGGACTTCAGGACTCGTTGCTCTAGGGCCCTGTGGTTTCTCACAAACAGGGATTAACGACCTTATCTGGGTGGGTGAAAGGTCACGGAAGAGGCCCTTGAGTGAGGGCCAATCCACCCCTACAAGAGACGTTCTGCTGCAGGCAGCCCTGCCCCCCCTTTTCTCTTAGAAGGGAGAAATAGTAAGGGCCATGGAGCAGGGAGGCCACGGGAAAGGGCAGCCCAGCATCCGGCTGACTTTGGCTGCCTCCGAAGAGCCGGGAAGACTGGTGACAAAGCCTGGCTCCCACAGTCATGGGGAGCACAGTTGGCTCAGCAGTGTCCTCTACTCCCCAGGGAAACCTGTTTGACTTTCTTCGACTGACAGAATGGCGAGGGCCACGTGTGCTCTACTTCGGTGACCACCTCTACAGTGACCTGGCGGTGAGGGGTGGGGAGCTTTTTCCCCAGGGAAGGAGGGAGCCCTGCCAGCTGGTGCTGAGGTCTGCCTCCCATCCCTCCCACCAGGATCTTATGCTGCGGCATGGCTGGCGCACGGGAGCCATCATCCCTGAGCTGGAGCGTGAGATCCGCATCATTAACACGGAACAGTACATGCACTCGCTGACCTGGCAGCAGGCTCTCACCGGGCTGCTGGAACGCATGCAGGTAGGGACAACGGGAGGGATTGGGGGCTGGTAAATTGGAGTTGGGGCTGCACCTCCTAAATGCATGCTTGCCCACCTCCCCACATTGTGTTTCTCCAGACCTATCAGGATGCAGAGTCGCGACAGGTGCTAGCTACTTGGATGAAGGAGCGGCAAGAACTGAGGTGAGCAGACCCCAGCCAGGACAGGGATCCTGCCCCAGCTTTTTCTCCGCGCATTGATGTGTGCCCTGTTTCTCTCCCTAGATGCATCACCAAGGCCCTATTCAATGCACAGTTTGGGAGCATCTTCCGCACCTTCCACAACCCCACCTACTTCTCCAGGCGCCTCGTGCGCTTCTCTGACCTCTACATGGCCTCTCTGAGCTGTCTGCTCAACTACCGTGTGGACTTCACTTTTTACCCACGTCGAACACCCCTGCAGCACGAGGCGCCCCTCTGGATGGACCAGCTCTGCACTGGATGCATGAAGACACCTTTTCTCGGTGACATGGCCCACATCCGCTGAGGGCACTTTTATTATCCTAGACAGACCATCTGTTCTTTCAGCCCCAGCCACCCTGACAAGCAATAAAAGTGGTCTCTGTCCTTCCGTGTGCCTCTGCTTCCATTCCAGACTGTCATTTGACCTTGAGGATCCTCTGGGTATCAGGGAAGTCCTCCTCTAGGAGCGAATCCTGCAGAGGGAGGCAGGGTGCAGCCAAGCAAGGCTAAGCCCAGGGCCTGCCCCCACCCTCCTCCATCCACACTTCCCACCCCACACTCACATCAAAGGGCTCACAAAAGGCATCGTTGCTGCCAAAGACAGGGTTGGGGACAGAAACCAGGGTTGGGCTGGTCCCTTCTTGCCATGGGGAGAAGTCATCATCGGCATTATCTTCTGCCTAGAAGAGGGGCTGTGACTGGTAAGGCCCCCACACATGACAGAAGGACCCTGCCCCCACACAGCCCCAACCCCTCTTTACTTGGAAGGCAGAGAAGCCGAAGCCTGTGGGCTTGCCTCGGGCGCGCAGGTAGAGGGCTCCAGCTACCAGCCCCAGCAGTGTCCCGGAAGCCACCACGATCCCCATGCTTAGTGCCACAGGTTGAGGCTTGTGTCCCAGCACCGGCCTCTGAAGCAAAAAGGGGGTGAGTGTCAAGGACCAGGCCAGAGATAGCCCCTCCCCCTTGAGGCTCTGTCTCCCACTTCTGCAGACTCACAGACTGGGGTGGCGTGAGCAGGGGACTGGCCAGAGCATGGATGATGCCATTGAAAGCCAAGATGTCCCACACGATGATGTGACTGACCACAACTGCCCCCGGGGTCTGTGGAGAAACTGCAGTCAGGCCCCCAGGTAAGCAAGATTGAGCCAGGAGGGTACTGGTAAGGCCAGACTCACCAGAGGGACCCTAGAACTGTTGTCAGGGCCTTCATCTCTTACGAAGAGGCTAAGTCCTGAGTGGGCAGGAAGCCATGTCCCCTGGCTGGCATTAGCACTCAGAAAGGTGGCGTTGGAAGCGTGGAGTTCTAGGTCTGAGCCACTCAGCGTCTATGAACAGAGGAAGCTCTGTTGGGTTAGGCCCACCAGAGAGAGCAAACTGCACCCAAGCCCCTGCTGTTACCATATTGTCCACAAAGCCTTCGTTGACAGGAACAAAGAGTGTCTTAAAGGAGAGCTCATCGTCCAAGAAGTCCAGAAAATCCAGACCTCGCTGGGTGGCATTGGCATAGTCCAGCAGCATCTAGGGCGAGGAGATGGGGTGTAAACAAGCTTTCTCCTTGGGGACCCCAACTGCCTACATTCCCACTTCTGAGGCTAGACTAGACCCCTGCACACCCCATAGAAGGTAGAAAAGTTGGCGGTGGTAGCCAGGACTTCGAGCAGCTTCCCGTTGCACGTGCTGATCCCGTCACCCACGAAGCCGACCCGACACTGGCAAGCCACATCTGCAGGGAGAGAAGGCAGTCAGTGGCTTAGAGAGGAGTATTAGGGAAATCGGGGGAGGGGTAGGCAGAGGTCAGTAGGGTGAACATGCCTTGCACACGGTAGCAGTAGGCGTCCCAGCGCTCCGAAAGGTTCTTGCGGACACCGAGGCTAATGACACCTACACGATTATCACCACAGTCTGCCGCTGGGAAGACGACAGGGTGGGCAGCAGAGCCATTGGCCAACCAGCCCATGAAGCAGACATGGAAACCCAGCTGTAGGGGCAAGAGGAGATGCTGAGACCAAAGCCCAACTCAATGGGCTTCCATGGGCTTAGCTCCTACCCTTGAGCCCTGTGCACCTGCTGGGCAGCAGAGAGCTGAGGGAGTGAAGCAAGGACTGCTCCCTGGTCCTCACAGGCTTCCTTGGCCTCTGAGAAGGTCAAGCCATAAGAGCCACTGGTGGCCTGGATGTGGAAGACTCCAGCCCGTTTTTCTGCAGGAAGAAGGGAAGGTGTATGATTGACAGGACAGTGACGGGGATAATACAGTGGGTCGGAGGTGGGTAAGGAAGCATACCCTGGAAATGCAGGTCAGTGCACAGAGCGTCTCTGTGGCAGGGTGCTGATTTGCTCATGCATCGGTCCACAGGCGGTTCAAGCTCCGCCAGACACTGCAGTCCGTCACCCACATAGCCTACATGGCATTCACAGCGCCGTGTGTTCTGTGGACAGAGAGAGCAGTGGATGCTCACAGAGACTGGAGGAGCGGGCTGTGAGGCCTCTACACCCAGACGACTCAGCTCCCTGGGACCTGCTTACCGGACCAGTGTTGAGGCAGTCAGCATGCTCACTGCAGCCTCCACGGTGGCCGTCCAGGCAGGGATTGCGAGCTCGGCAACTCCAGCCATCACCCTCATAGTCAGGCAGACAGGTGCAAGTGACCATTGTCCCCACCTGGCTGCAGTTGGCATGCTCACTGCAGCCACCATGCCCCTTCCGGCACAGATCTGCCACTGGGGGCAAGGAAGGAGTGGTTGAGCCGCATACCTAGGGTGGGTCCAGGGCTTCTTACCAGCAACTCACAGCCTCCTGCTTACCTGTGCACACACGGCCATCCCCTTCATAGCCCAGGCTGCACTCACAGCTGTTGCCCACACGGCACATGGCCTGGGTTGCACAGGGTGGGGTACATACGGGCTGCAACTCTGTCCCCAGGACCCATCCCATAAGAGCAGGTCAGTAGCTCCCCTCCAAGCCACTGCCCCTCCCATCCACCATAGGGGCCTCCACCTGAGTGTGCAGCTAGGCGGAGGGGTGTGCGGCCAGTGTGTGCACAAAGGCACAGCAGCCCAGGCTCAAGGGCTACTCACCCAGCTGCACTTCACAGTGTGGCCCAGTCCAGCCTTCGTCACAGAAGCAGGAGCCAGAGCCCCCAAGGCCTTCATCACAGCGTCCATGTGGGGTACAGCGGCAAGCTGGGGAGAAGGACAAGTTGACACACACGCCAAAGGAAATGGGGCAAGATCGAATGGGACAAGGCAGAGATGACATACCTTGGCATTGGGGTCCAAAGGTACCTGGGGCACATAATTCACAGGCTGTCCCAGCAAAACCCAAGTGGCATTTACACTGCCCAGTTCCGCTCATGCCATCCAGACACACACCGTGATCACTGCAGGGGCTTTTAGGGCCGCCAGGGCAAGCTAGGGAATAGCGTGGAGGAAGGGACCAGAGGCGCTCATGAGAACACCCACATACCTGCACCCCGGGATCTGCCTTCTGTTCCCCTACAGAGTGCCAGCCAAGGCTCTTCAAGGGGTGTCAGTTCACCCGTGTCCTCACAGCCCTGAGACCCCCACCAAACTCCAGAGAATGCCCAGAGCCTTCAGAACTCCATGCCAGATTATGAATCTTCTGTACACCTACCCCCACACATGTTAAGCATTCCCCTACCCTAGAGCACCCCAAAATCCTTCCTTAAAGGGCAATTGCCAGAGCTTTGTCTCTGGCCATCTTGAAGGCAGGAGGAGCTGGTGAGTTTGCCTGCTGCTCTCAGAATGCTTACCTTGGCAGTCAATGCCGTAGTGACCAGGGCAGCAGCTGGGCTTCCAGATTACTGTGACACAGTTTCGATGGCAGCCCCTGCCCAGTCGGTGGTGGTTCCAAAAGCTAGGCTGTAACCAGGCTCCACCACGCATCGTCAGGGAGTGCAGTGGAGTTGCCCAGAACTTGGAGTAATCACGCCAGCATGCCTTGGGGCTGCCCTGCGTCAAAAGGAGTCAGGCCACAGCCAGCCTGAGCTTGGTGGTGCTCTGCCCCTCCCCTCAACCCTCAACACAGCCTCTAGGTCCTTACCTGCTCCTGTGAGCCCCGAGGACAGGGTGGCTCCAGCCCACAGACGCTGCAAGTCTTCTGGAGGGGATGGAGGTCAACACTGCAGGGTCAGGTGGATGCACAGGACAGGACAGGTAGGCTGGGCCCCTGCCATGCACCTGTGGCCCGTGGCCTTCCTCACCATTTGAAGTGTCTGGGTCTCAAAACGATCACAGCGGGCACCAAGGCCGGGTGGCTCCAACAGCTGATCAATGCCATAAGCCACGCCACCTTCAAAGAGCAAGTGTCTTTGCACAATGCGGGTGTTGTCTTCACCTACCATGAGCTCACCCTAAAGGGGAAGATGTAGGGATCGTGGGCATTGCAGCCCCTTACTGCTCTGCCCCTGTTGTCCTTAACCAAGCTCTCTCCCCAGACTCACAGGCCGGGCACGACTGCAGGAGAAAGAGATAGTGTTTCCATACATGGTTCGGAGTTGGCCCAGGTTGGGTAGGTCAGATGCCAAGGCCTAAACAAATGAAGACATGATTGGAGTTGGGCATGCAGGCAATAGGGACCAAAGATCAGGTCTGTGCCCACCTCAATGTTGCGGATCACGTGACCCCGAAGAATGGCTGCCAGTTTGTCACGGTGGTCCTCATGGTAGAGCCAGTTCTGCCGATCAGGAGGCAGGGCTTGGAGGGCGGAATCCGTGGGCCACAGCATAGTGAAGGGACGATGAGTTGCATCCTGAAGCATGGGCAGGAGACCAGCCACCTGTGGGGGCGGAGCAAAGGGGTGACAGATAGAGATGAGGTACAATAAGGGATGAGCAATAGCCAGGAGGTGGTGGCGCATGCCTTTAATCCCAGCACTCAGGAGGCAGAGGCAGGCAGATCTCTGAGTTCTAGGACAGCTAGGACTACACAGAGAAACCCTGTCTTGAGAGGAGAGAGGGGAACAATAAAATTGAAACAATACACCATAATAAAAGTCATTTAAAATGTGAGATCTTTCTAGGACTTTTCAATTTAATATTTTTATTATACCTAACCTGGTTTGTTTTTGTTTTGTTTGTGTGTGTGTGTGTGTGTGTGTGTGTGTGTGTGTGTGTAGGACATGGGAGAGGGGGCATGCTTGCAACTGCACACATGGAGACCCTACAGGAGTCACTTCTCTCCTGCTGCATGGGTCCCAGGGTTGTCAGGTGTGGTAGCAAGTACTCTCACCCACTAAGCCAACTTGCCAACATTGTTGACTATGAGTTGAAATTGTAGGTAGGGGAGCTACTGTATATGGGCACACTTGCAGGGAAGTCTCCACACACCTTGGCCACACACTTCCTCACATGCATCCACACCGAGAGGCTCT